CCCTTTAACATCTCTTAACTGTCTGTAGTTCTTTGTGTGGGTTGAGTCTCAATTGACTATTAGGAACATTTAAAGAATTTACTCTCAACACATATAAGTTTGTTATTAATGCTCATGTACTGGATAGTTTCTATCATCTTTTTATTTCTTCCTTTTCAGAGACACACTCCCTCCAAAAAAGCAAAACAATTTTACCATAAACAATGAAGAAGCACCTTCCCCAGAAGTCTATTTCTATTCTTCTTAGATAGAGTGAATAGCTGTAAACTTAAGAGACAAGCACATCCCAGCTTATCTTAGTGGACCAGAGAATTTACTGTGGTTGTTCAAGCACTCTTGGGTCCATGCATTTTAAAAAAGTCCTACACAAAATTGTGGGTGATCACTCATAAATAGTATGTCTAAAAGATACAAAGAGCTGGAAAAAATGTCATGAAAATTTAAACTCCAGGTTGCCTCTGCCTCATTGCCCTAAGACCTTCTGCTTTTGACATCCTGACATGACAGAAAGAATAGATGAGGAACATGAAGGACAGTGTTTTCTGTTGGTTTTATGGAGCTGTATATTTTTCTCTACTCCCCTTCCTTCCTCTCTCCTCCCATTCAACACTCTTCCATGATCCCCATGCTCCGAATTTAGCCAGGAGATCTTGACTTTTTCTACTTTCTATGTAGATTAGATCTATGTATGTCTCTCTTAGGGTCTTCTTTGTTGTCTAGGTTCTCTGGGATTGTGAATAGTAAGCTGTTTTTTTTTTCTTTATGTCTAAAAGTCACTTTTGAATGAATACATACGACATCTGAAGGACAGTGTTTTATGAGGTGAAAGATTTTGGAGCAATAGCAGACCACGTTCAATATGACCTTTGGAGCCTGATTATTGTTTAAATTCATGCATGTGTAGTTACAAGAGTAATGGTCCCTAACACCCAATTTCCCTAACCTCCTATCCTGTTTATAGGCCACCTTACATAGCAAAATTAACTTTTCAAATGTGATTGAAGACCTTGATTTGGAGAGATTTTTCTGAATCAAGTATATGTTTTAACTTAATCGTGGGGTTCCTCAATAGGAAAGATGGCATAAGATAAAAAGTTAAAGCAGATATACTCTTGGCTCTGAAAATAGAGGAAGAGGCTCTTGCCCTGGAAAACAGGTAGTCTCTTGCGACAGTTAGGCCAAGGAAGAGTTTGCCCTTAACCCTAAAAAAGGAACATGGCCCTATTATAAATTTTAGTTTAAAGAGATCTCTTTTGATTCTCTGGTCTTCAGACTTGTAATAGAGATTCATGTTGTTGTTTTAAGCTTACTTATACACTTTAAAAATTTTTAAATTTTATATCCATGTGTATAATTGCTTGCCTGTGTGTATGTATGTACATCATGTACATACCTGGTGCCTGCAGAGGTCAGAAGAGGACACTTGATCACCTGACACTTGAGTTAGGGATGGTTATAGGTCACCATGGAGTGTTAGGAATCAAACTTGAGTCTTCCATAAGAGCAATCAGTCCTCTTAACCAGTGAGGCATCTCTCCAGCCCCTCAGTAGGATTTTGCTATTGAATTAGAGCACTAATATAAAAGTGGTTTTGTTTGTTGCTGTGGGTTTTCTTTTTAAGACAGGATTTCACTATGTAGCCCTGGCTGGCTTAGAACTTTTTATGTAGACAATGTTAGCCTCAAATTCACATAGATCTTCTTGATTCTGTCAACTAGTTCCTGGGGTTAAAGATGTGCATGACTACAACCAACCTATAAAGCTTTTATAATGAAGCTTTGTATGTCTCCTGAAATACAAGCAATAACTTCATCTAAACAATGCTGGCCACAGAAAACACTATGAACACGAAGTACCTGAGTGTCAGGGTTCACTACTGCTGTCCTTCATACAGAAGCACAATTCAGTCTATCACTATTTAGGAAAACAGCAAAATTCAAATTTCATTTCCTTCAACTGGTGGTGAATTAATTATGAGAATGTTTTGAATAGTTGTCACCAATGGGTGGCAGCAGTGTCACTAAGTAGCTATAGTCTAGTGAAGATTATTACTATTCTTTTCATTTTAAACTCCATAATGAAAGAGTAGAAGAATAGGACAGTAAGCATTTACTGAGCCTGATGAGGTATATTCACAGACAAGATATCCAGTAATATAGTAGTCATCCACTGACCTACTTTACATGTGAACAAGCACTGTAACAGGGGCTACAAAAATTTTCAAGATACTGAAATATTAATAATGTAACTTATATTTTCTTGGTATGTGACTTAGAAGTCAGTTTGTCCATAAATGCTATACCAGTTGTGCTTACAACATCAATCAAACTTCATCTGTGAATTAATATTGTAGTGTTGCTGTTTCCTCTGGGAAACATTCCATCCTTAAGAGAAACTAGAAAGACAGAAATTTAAACAACTCAAAACAGCTCCAGGAATTCTCTGACACTAGCAGATTCACTAGTCCCCTTCCTCCCCAAGAGTGTATATACAGTAAGTGACTGCTGAGAGTCACTGTCAGACAAGCCCTGCTGCCTGGAAGAAGCAGAGACCAGCAGGATTGCCTAGAAGAGGCACAGACCAACTGAGTCCCTGGAAAGGACATTGTGGTGATTTGGATGAGAATGGCTCATATATTTGAATACTTGGTCCACATTTGGTGTATCTGTTTAGAGAAGATAATGAAATATGGCCTTGGTAGAAGAGCTGTGCCCTTTTTGGAGAGGTGGCCTTGGTAGAAGAGCTGTGCCCTTTTTGGAGAGGTGGTCTTGCTGGAGGAGGTATTACCTGTTTGCAGGAGTTGTGTCACTGGAGTTGGAGTTTCAAATGCCCACACCATCCCAGGTCATCTATCTCTTTTTTCCTCATGGTTGCGGTATCGATATGTAAGCCATTGTTCTCACACCATTTCTGCCTGCCTGCTGCCATGCTACCTACCGTGATGGTCATCACTTCATCATCTGAAATGTTAAGCAAGCTCCTCACAACTTCTTTCTTTTACAAGTTGTATTGGTCATTGTGTTATTTCACAGCAATAGAAAAGTAATCAGGGTAGGCACTCTCCGAACTGATAAGCTGTCTGCAGGTTGTGCAGTGTATCCCAGTTGTCTAGCTTTTGGGAACTACCACCCATGCTGGAGTGGGCTTTGCTGCATCTGTCTTTGAATCAACTTTGATCTTGTAAGTAGCTTTCCACATTATTCTTATACGGAACCCAAATAAAACTCATTGGTTCACCAAGTTGAACTTTGGTGATATCTGTATTTTGGTCCATCATGTGCTTTTTCTCTGGAGTTAGTAGATTTGTGTCTTGTATTTCCCCAGGAAAATTGATCACATGCCAACCACACATAGTTTAATGATGTAAAGTCATTTGTTTCTCTGAGTTTTTGTAGGAAATTAGCTTCTTTCAGTCACTGTCATGAAAATTTACCTTCCTATCATATACATGATTTGAACACTTGTACTATACACATTGTTCTCTGTGGGAACCTTTTTATTAGTTTACTGGAAATAAAATGGACTGCAAAACAAAAAGGGTTAAATGAAGTTGAAGCAGAACACTGAGAAACATGTTTTCCTGAATGAAATATGCTGGTATTAAAAACAAAACAAAACAGGCTAAGCCCAGTGGTGGTGGCACATGACTATAAACCCAGCACTTGGGAGGCAGAGGAAGGCAGATCTCAGAGTTTGTCTACAAAGCAAAGTTCAGGACAGTCAAGGCTACACACAGACATTTTGTTTTGGAAAACAAAACAAAAGAAAGAAAAAGGAAAGAAAAAAACAATAACAAAAAATAAAAATATATACTCAAAATAAGCAATCTACTACAAAAAAACATTAAATATTTTATTTTTCTGACTTATTTGTGATATGTATATGTACAGCACAAGTCTGAAGGCCATAGGAGAAACTTTCTGTGGAAGCTTTTCTGCTTCTAACATGTGGGTCCAGGTTTCAAAATCAGGTTACCAATCTTAGTGGCAGGTACATTTTACCTCCAGAGTCACATCACTGTTCATGAACAAATATTTTAATAAAGAGTAAAGATATTTCCTGTGTGGTAATACATAGCTCCAATTACAGCCATTTGGGAATTACAAAGCAGCTTTGTTACAAAACAAAATTTACAAGAAGGGATGATGGTAAATATGAGAAGTACAGTGTTTGCCTAGCATGCCTGAGAAGGTTTAAACTATGTATCAATAAAGTAAGAAGACAGAGCTAACAGAAGAGATGCTTGTGACCTGTTATTTCGTCCTTTTTGGGACTCATCAGTACAGTATAGCATATGATCAAGTAAAATATTTAGTTCCCAAATATTAAAAATGTTTAAATCATTGAAAGATTAGGAATAAAATGTTTTAAGGAGGTTCAGTAACTTAGCGTTCTTGTACAAGAAACTCTCAAAAAGGTTTAATTAGAAAGCTAAATTGACATTTTCTAATAATATATTCTTAGTCTATTTGAATTAAAAAAGAACACTGATAAGTAAAATTTAAAAACATTTTGACAATGGTATTAAATCACAGAATGTGGTCTTGTCTAGATCGCCCTTCATAATGGTCATTGAATTTTGTAAAAGAATGATGATCATATTTACAATAGTATTTGGAGACTTTACACCAATTATCATCTCTATTGTGGTTATTGAATCATTTCCATGGACTTAGTCATCCCACATTTTTAGGTTCCATCCTTTCAATACATAAACCAATTTAAAAAATTCATACCTGCTCCTAAAGGTTAAGCTCACTAATACAGATATGATTGTATTTTAAGTTTAAGATATGAATAGTAACTCATATCCAAACACCTATTTTAATTTTAAATCATTCACACTCACTTCCCTTATGTTGGATCCTCTGAGTTTCATCTTTGGTGTCAACACATATTATTGAAGGATTTTGATGATTTTAGCAGATCAGGGGTGGAGTTGCAACTGTAGATAACAGGTCACAGTGCATCTGTTTATCAGGCATGCTTCGGCATATTTCCTACCCTGGGTTTAAAATTTCTGGGCATTGTAAAGTATATTTGCTGTACTTTCTACAAATCCACTTCTTAGGTGTGTAGTCCTTGGCACTGCTGATCCCACTGTCATTCAGGTAGGCATATTCTCTGCTTCCTTGGGGGAGAACCCTAAAGCAAAAAACAGACAAAAAATATTTCCATACAGGCCATATTACATTCAAACACCTGAACTAGTTTTGCACCTGGGAACTTTTACATGCTCAGGGTTTAACTTGAACACCACACTTTTGTCATTTGCTCGTGTCGAGTCTCATATCATTTGCAAAGGCATTTGACTGGCTCTTGATGTCACGTGCAAGTGCACTGCTGCCATCCATGGGTGGCGTCACTGAGGATGTTTTTCAGTTCTATCTTGAAACATTTTACACATATATAAAAGCAGGGGGAAACCCATTTCTTATTAAATTACTAAAAGGTCTTTAATGATGGATGTGACTTGTCTGTCTCAGTGTTCATTGATGATGAGTTACTGTTTTTAGACAAATATATTGGTATCGATTCTTGTATATTGATACAAAGTTAAATTATATTGACTATTGTATGCATGCATGTTTCTACCTGTTTAAAACATATTTTATGTATTGATATATATTGTATTGATATATATATTGTATATGTTTACCATATTGCAGTGTAAATTTCTACCTCTGATTAAGATACTTATATAATGTTTGTGTATTGATATATATTTACCATATTGTAATGTATATTTGTACAGTGTTTATATTTGGAGGTCATTATCCTAATTTGTTACACAGTTGTTTATTGTCTTAGTCTTTAAGTTAGATAGATATTGAGAATTACATAGATTAATAATCATCTAAGTTTGTCATTTATAATTAGACTAATCAGGTTCTTTAGATATATAGAGATTATACTCAGTATAGATAGATAATCTTCAACTTCTTCAAAGAGCTATAGAAAATGGCCTTTAATCTAACTCAGAGTTTCGTGATAGTGAGACACAATTGCTCCTGGCAGCACCGCTCTATTCCCGAGAGATTGTTGAGCACCAAAGACACTCCACCTGGAGCCTTTCTTTTTGGCAGAACTGGCCTTTGGGCAAAGAAATGCCCATACCTCAACCACTGACAGAGATACAGAGCGTGCATCAATGGATAAAACAGGACTGTCATATCCTGCCAAGACAGGGTAAGATAGTTTTGAAAAGTTGCTTGCCTTTTGAAAATGGTATGTCAGTTATGTTAGGCCTTAGCCAAAGTTGGTTGACTCAACATTGCAAACGAGACTTTGGGTGATTGCCCAGGTAGTCAGTTGTCTTTGTCAATTGTTGCACATTTTGGATATATCTCGTTTGTTAAGTAATATTTATTCCCTTCTCAGATCTTTGATGGAGTTGAAGATTATATAATTGTAGTTACTCTCTACATTATTTAGACTCCTTGAGATAGAATGTTTAGCAAAACTTTTGTTCTCAATATTGTTTGTTATATTATTTGTTATTATTGTATATAGTTGTATTTGGTTTAGTTCTGTCTTATTTAGACAAAAGGGGGAGATGTAGGGATAAGTCCTGCCCCTTAGGGGGCCTGTTCATCTCTGGCTAATGTTTGCCTATAAATTTGGTGAGCGTGCTCCCAGCCACTGCTTCAGCTTTCCTGGTCTCCACCGGAACGGTGATTCTGTAAGTCTATTTCTCCATTAAAGCTATATATATATTTTTTTACAATGTCTGCATTTGTTTACGCCATTACAATTTTAGCGGAGGCTCCCAATGTCCTTTGAGTTTCTGCATCTGTGAACAGTTGCAGCTGTGCAAACAGCTGTCTGACGAGCCTTAACCCAGCAGTTCTGCAGTGGTTTCCTGGGGTTTCAGAGCTCTAACTGCCCATCCTACCTTCTATCTACTTATCATGAAAGTGTCTATTGTCAAGGAAAAATTTTCTCTTTTTACTTTTTTTTTCAAGGAAAATTTTTGATTGGTGATGGAGCAGACAACATCTAGCCTAGGTGCCATCATCATGCTAAAGATTTTGAGTGACTCACACTAAGAAAATGCTTTGAAAATTATGGTTAATAAGTGGGAGAACATTCAAAGGATTTAAATTTGTAGGAATGTGGAAGTTGTTTGAATTTGGCTCTGCACGTAAGCACACACCCTAAGTCTGGGCCACTCCTCCACTTAGAAGGTTTGTATTTCTTTCTTTTCAGTACAGTTGGAGTCACATGGCACAGTTATCAATCCCTTATAGGCACAAGAAACACACTTCACAACAAATGATCACAGTAGAAGGAAAAGTGATCTAAAAACATACAAGTTGTTATATTCAGTGTTGTCTGTCCATGTCCAAGGATGATCTGGTGACTTTCTGTGCAGGCCGATCCAGTAGTCAGAAGTTCCCTTGTATCTCTTCAGGAAATTCTGTCATAAAACATAGAAAACAAATGCATGTGTCTCTCAGCTTCAGGTGACCACTGAGTATCTCTAATCTGCAGCCTATTCTAGGGATGGCAGCTAAGGGTCATTGATTTTGGAGCTACAATAATTTCCAGTTCTCAGAGGATATATTATACACTCATAACCTAAAACACATTGCTGGGCACCTATTCCATGGTGACTGTGAAAGTCCCTTATTAAGAATATCCTTGCAGCTTTTAACAGTTGCCATATTTAGTATGCAAAACCTGATAGTTTCAAGGGATACTTACATGACCACTAGGTATATCAGGTTTTACAATGAGTACTATATTAGAGTATGTCTTTGGAATGTCTTGGTGCCCAAACTAGAAGCAATAGCATCAGCAATTGGCACCACACTACTAATGTGCTTCCCATATGCCCCAACTGCCTGAGGTGGGATTCTTCCTTTAAGATCTCTATATTAAGACAATGCATATCCAATAGAACAAACAACAAACCAATTCACGATCCTTTCTTACCAGCTCCTCAAGGCTATCAAATAGAGCAAGATGGGCCTCTAGTGCCATGCAGTAGGTCTGACTGAATGTCCAATTTCTTACATCTTCAGAAAAGTAAAAACATTTGTTTCCAAATCCAATCCAGTCATTTGGGCATGTGGAATAGTAAGGTCCAGGTCCTGAAATGGCTGTGTTTTCTTTGTTCACTAAAATGCAGACAGTGTCATGAATAAGACATTTGCTTATAAAGACTGCTGGATTAATCCAACCTATATATTTTGAAAATGTCTTGACTTAAAAATTTAAGTCAAAAGATATCTTATTTTGGAGAAGAGGCTTTCTTTTTGTTTACACAGGAAATGAAAGGCTGTGGATTCATTCTGGGTTAAAAACAAGGTTTGATCAAGGAAGACCCCTGAAAAATATTCAGTGGGAACTAATGGCCCAGATGATTCAACATTTCAGAGCACCTCGGTTGCAGTTTCCTCTGAGTTCTGCATCCAGAACAGCCTCAAGAGGCCTGGCTGAGATGACTCATCCTCATAAAGTACTCCAGTCAGGACTTGACCATAATCCTAAATTTTCTTTGGGTCCTCATAAAATTATCAGCACCTTTCTACAAATTGGAACTCTTTGTTTAGAGTATTGATTACAAGTTGTTAGGAATAATGGTTGGAAAAAGCTAAGTAAAGGAGATTAGATTCAGAGATCTTATAAAGAAAAAAGGGGGAATACTGTGTGATAATACTCTTGTACACTATAAAGATTTGTCCCTCATGATAGTTTAATAAAACTCTGATTGGCCAGTAACCAGCCAAGAAGTCTAGGTGGGGTGACCAGACTAAAGGAATTCTGGGAAGAAGAAATGCAGAAATTCAGTCACCAGCCAGATGCAAAGGGAACAAGATGACAATGCCTTAATGAAAAAAGGTAACAAGCCACATGGCTAAACATAGACAAGAACTGTGAGTTAATAAACCAGAGCTATTGGCAAAACAGTTTATAATTAATTTAAGCCTCTGGGACTGAATGGCTGTGGGACTGAGTCGGACAGAAGCTTTCATCTCTACTTTCCTTTACTTCCTATTGCAAATAGGGAACAATAAACATGGATTTGCAAGTAACTCTGTGATAGGTTCTTTTTTTCTTTTTTTATTCTTGACAAAAGAAAGAAAATTCCTCATTTATCTAGATTTCACTATAAATAAATTCCAGCCCATAAAGCATGGCATGGACAACATAGCTTTTTCGATATTTAAATTTTGGTAGCAGGCTTCCTATAATTCTATTACACAATTAAATGTATATAGACATATGCTGGCTTTTGTTAGAGCCAATCAGAATGGCTATCAGTAAGAAATCTGACAACAATGCTGGGCTGTAGTGACATGACTTTAATTTCAGTGTTTGAGAGGCAGAGACATGCAGATTACTGTGAGTTCAAGGGCAACTTGTTTAGAAGCTTATACAGAAATAAGGACACTTATTTACTGCTTGTAGAAGTACAAACTGAAACAGCCAATATGGAGGTTCCTTAGAAAACTAAAAATTAAACTTGCCATGTGACTAAGATTTGTCACTCCTGTTCATACAAGAAGCAACCTCCATATCCTACCACAGAAAACTGTAATCCATATTTATTGCTCTCCTATTCACAATAGTAAGAAATTGTACCTGACCTACATGTCCATCAACTGATGAATGAAACTAATGAAAATGTATTACATGGAAAAAACAGAATGTTATTCAACTATAAAGGAAAATGAAATTTTCAGGAAAGTGGATGGACTATTAAAGTATAATACCAAGTGATGTCACTCAAACTGAAGAAGAAAGAGATCCCATGTACTCTGTCATATGCAATCCCAGTCTGTGACATACAGTGTAAACAAGTGTGAGGGTGGCTATGGTACAATACTTAGAGAACAGAACAAGGAAGACTGGTGTAGGGTGACAAGGAAGGATGGGATGCTGCCAAGGGCCCATTATAATATGAAGGGGCCTGCTTGTTGGGGTTTCTGTCCTGCCCGGTTCCCCATAGCCCAAAAGCCCCAAAGAAAATCACACAGAGTCTACATTAGGTCATAAACTGATTGGCCCATTAGCTCAGTCTCCTTATTAGTTCTTGTAGCTTATATTAACCCATTGTTCTTATCTATGCTAGCCACATGGCTCTTTACCTTTCACAGCAGGGCAGGTCACATGTTGCTTCTTCAGTGGTCTGGGTTGGACTGGGAGGAATGGGCTTTCTCCTTCCCAGAATTCTCCTGTTCTCATTGCCCTGCCTCTGCTTCCTGTCTGGTTGACCTGCCTATCCTTCCTGCCTGGCCAATCAGCATTTATTTAAAACATGATTGACAGAATACAGACAATTCTTCCGCACCAGCCCATAAGCCATGAAAAGGGTTATAAAAATAATAGTTTTCATAGTTTCAATTCTGACAGCTTTTCTTATTTTTGGAGATGATAAGATAAAAATGTAACTGACAGTGAAAGTCTAAAACCATAGCCAAAGCTCCATGGCTTCAGAATGGCTATTCTAGCTCTATGGAATGTCAATGAGATACATTGGGTTTGGGACCTGGCAAGTCTTTGAGCAGTAATTTTAATGCAGCTCTGTGATATGTTCGTCTGTGAATCTATAATAATAAAGTGATCATGTCTATATATGTCTATGTGTGTACACATGTGTGTGTGTGAATATTTGTGTGTGTGTGTGTGTGTGTGTGTGTGTGTGTGTGTGTATGAAAGATTCTCTGAATGAAGCAAGGGTTCAAAAGACAGCTTAAAAGAATAACAGACAATTTTTGTCACACATTTACTATTTTCTTCCATTAACAAATCAGAAGGAATCTGCCACTCTTTCAAAGGTCTAGTCAGTTTCAAGAAAAAAAGAAAAAGATCTTTGAAGTGAAATATCAAATACTGGAAATGACCTTCTCTAATTATTTTTAGAAAATGGACTTTGTTATAGTTGTTCCCAGTTCTTATACTCAGTACCAAGAGCTTTCAATGAAAGGGACAAATGGAACGGACAGTAAAGGTTACTATCGTTTCTTCTTATCTGACTTTTTTCTGAACTATATAGTTTAGGTTGTACTGACCAAGACTTGTTGGGCAATGTTTGTTCTGTTTAGACATATGTGTTACTCCTTAGTGTAGTTAAACTTGATTTCATAAAATAATATCAGATGGTGGTGGTGCACACCTTTAATCTCAGCAATTGAGATTCAGAGGCAGGTGGCTCTCCAAGTTTAATGCCAGTCTGGTTCCCAGTGAGAAACTCTGTCTCATAAGGCGATGGATGGAGATAGAGACAGAGGCACACACTGGAGCACCGGACTGAGCTCCCAAGGTCCCAATAAGGAGCAGAAGGAGGGAGAACATGAGCAAGGAAGTCAGGACCACGAGGGGTGCACCCACTCACTGAGACAGTGGGGCTGATCTATTGGGAGCTCACCAAGGCCAGCTGGACTGTGACTGAAAAAGCATGGGATAAAACCAGACTCTCTGAACATGGCAGACAATGAGGGCTGATGAGAAGCCAAGAACAATGGCATGGGTTTTTGATCCTACTTCATGTTCTGGCTTTGTGGGAGCCTAGTCAGTTTGGATGTTCACCTTCCTAGACCTGGATGGAGCGGGGAGGACCTTGGACTTTCCATATTACAGGGAACCCCACCATATTATTCTTCACTGCCCTCACTTCTGTCAGCTGCAGCAACCTTCTTGAGGTTTCTCCTTTGAGTTTTCTTCTCTTTGGTCTCTGCTTTGAATAGTTCCCCCAGGTGCACACATGTCTCTTCCATCTCTGTCTAGAGGTTGCATAATATCATCTTTCCAGGGAGACTGAGCCTGGTCTCCTGTGTACACTATGGCCTGTGCTGATCTGTCTCTGCATTTTCCTGCTAGACCCTAAGTTTCCAGAGAAGAGGAATTGAGGAATTTCCAGTGTTGTTAACTAGAGCCCTTCCCACATTGCCTGGCTCACAATGATCAATAAGTATAACTGACAATGTGAATGTAGACAGATGTTTCAGAATTTGGAGAATGTGTCACTTACCTGACAAAGCAATCACAAGTGCAATTACAGCTACAGTGAGAATCATGATCACTATATAGCAGCAGTAAAGCTTGACAGTAGACTCAGGGGAGACACATCTGAGACATTTTCCTTGGAGCTTTTGACCTGAAACCATAAATATGAGAACATCAAGCTCAAGACCCTTTGGGTAAAAGATACATTTATCCAGGATCAACTGTATATTTGGCTTGTATTCTTCCCCTGGAAATGCCCCTCTCAAAAGGTCCTGGTCCACAAATAATGTCTATGGCCCATAGAAGGCTAGAGAAATGGAAAACAGAGTTTTCCCCAAGGAGTTTTCCAATTGACCAGTGAAGAAGCAAGAAACAGAAATAGTGAAGATCAGCGTGAAAAAGAAACAATGTAACACTACCCATAGGTTAGGTTTATTTTTGTAAGAAGATACCTGGTTAGAACTGATGGAATGATAATAATAACAACAACAACAACAACAACAGTAATAACAACAACAATTAAAATCAATGTGCCAGATGGAATAGCACAGTACTGTGGTTCTTGTGGAGGCCTAAGAGTAAGAAGTTCAAGTGGAACCCTGAAACGCAGCCTGTTAATACACAGAGAGAACCAAGAAGTGAGTGACCACCCACCTGGTGGGACACCCCACTCTCTAGGCCCTCCACACTGTGGCAAAACCCTAGGCCCTTACCCCACTTAAACTGGTTTCTCTAGCCAGCCAGCAGGCAAAGTGGATGAAAAAAAGAAATTCCCGTTGCCATGTAATAATCAAAATATAAAACATACAGCCCAAAGAAAGAATTTAAAGAGCTGCAAAGGAAAGTGGTCAAGTAACATATGAAGGAAGACCTATCAGAATTAAAGCAGACTTCTCCATTAAAACCACAAAAGGCAGAAGGTCTTGGACAGATGAGCTGCACACTAAGAGACCACAGATGCAAGCCCAGACTATTATTCCCAGCAAAGATTTCAATCATCTTCAATGGAAAAAACAAGACATTCCATGACAAAATCAGATTTAAACAATAACTATCCACAAATACAGTCCTATAGAAAGCACTACAAGGAAAACTCTAACCCAAGGAAGCTAACCAAAGCAGAAGCAACAGATAATCTCACCAGCAAACCAAAAGAAGGAAAACACACAAACACTACCACAGAAAAATAACAAGATTTAACAATCACTGGTCATTGATATCTCTTAATATCAATGGACTCAATTCACCTCTAAAAAGAAGCAGGCTACGAGAATGAATACAAAAGTAGGATCCATCCTTCTGCTGTATACAAAAAACAAACCCCAACTTCAAAGACAGACGTTACCTAGAGTAAAGTGTTGGGAAAAGATTTTCCAATCAAAGGGACCTAAGAGAAAAGCACATGTAGCTATCCTAATTTCAAACAAAATAGACTTCAAACTAAAATCAATTAGAAGAGATGGAGAAGGACAGTTTATACTCATAACAGGAACAATCCATCAAAATGAAGTCTCAATTCTGAACATCTATGCTGCAAATGCAAGAGGACCCACATATGTAAAAGAAGCATTATTAAAACTTAAATCACACATCAAACCCCACACACTTATTATAGTAGGAGACTTTGATACCACACTCTTTCCATTGGACAGGTCAATCAGACAGAAACTTAGGAGAGGAATAAGCGAACTAACAGATGTCATGGATCAAATGGAATTAACAGAGATCCTGTATCTTATTGAATCACCATGTTTAAAGTTATAATTTAACAACAGCACTAATCACAGAAAACCTGCAAACTCTTAGAAATTGAACAGTGCTTTATTAAACCACCCCTGGGTCAAGGAATAAATACAGTAAGAAATTAAAGACTTCCTAAAATTCAACAAAAATGAAGGTACAATGTACCCAAACCTATGGGACACTATGAAAGTGCTGCTAAGAGGAAAGTTCACAGCATCAAGTGCCTACATAAAGTGGAGAAAGCTCATACTAATGATTTAACAGCACACCTGAAAGCTCTAGAAGAAAAAGAAGCAGACTCACACAGGAGGAGTAGAAGAGAGAAAATAATCAAATTGAGGGCTGAAATCAATAAAAATAGCAACAAGGAAAACAATGCAAAGAATCAATGAGACAAAGAGCTGTTTTTTTGAGAAAATAAACATGACAGACAAACCCTAATCCAAACTAATCAAAAGATAGAGAGAGAATATCCAAGTTAACAAAATCAGAAATGAAAAGGGGACATAACAACAAACACAGGAAATCCAGAGAATCATTATGACATACTACAAAAGACTGTATACCCACAAAAGTGGGAAATGCATGTGACTATACACAGATTAATATAAATGGGTGAATTTAAGATATAAGAGCTAGCTAGAAATATGGATAAGCTAATAGGCTAAGCAGTGTTGCAGTTAATATAGTTTCAGTGTGATGATTTCAGGTCTGGGTGGCCGGGAAACTAACAAGCAGTCTCCAACAAAACATTAGCATGCCATCTTGGGGCTGACTACATCCGTGGAAAACCTGACACAAGCTAAAGTCATATGAGAATAAAGAACTTCAGGCTGTAGGCAAAACTATATTATATTTTCTTAATTAGTGACTTGTGAAGGGGCCTGATTGAGGAAGGTCATTGGTTAATTAATAAAGAAACTGCTTGGCCCTGATAGGTTAGAACATAGGTGGGTGGAGTATACAGAACAGAATGCTGGGAGGAAGAGGAAGTGAGGTAAGATGCCTCAGACAGATGGCATGCCTGCTCCTCTCCAGGGCAGATGCAATGAAGCTCCGACCCAGGATGGAAGTAGGCTAGAATCTTCCTGGTAAGTGCACCTTGGGGTGCTACACACATTATTAGAAACAGGCTAGTCCAGGTGCGAGAGTTAGCAGAGAAGAGGCTAGATATAATGGGCCAAGCAGTGTTTAAAAGAATACAATTTGTGTGTTGTTATTTCGGGGCATAAGCTAGCCAGGCTGCTGGGAAAGAGGCCCGCAGCTCTCACAACAGGGGCCCAACCCCCTCTGGGGTTCTATAAGAAAGCAGGCTGAACAAGCTGTGAGGAATAAACCAATAAGAAGCCCTCCTCCATGACCTTTGTATCAGCTCCTGCCTCCAGGTTCCTGCCCTGTTTGAGCTCCTGCCTTGACTTGTTTCAATGATGAACAGTACTATCAAAACGTAAGCCAAATAAATCCTTTCATCTCCAAATTGCTTAGATCATGGTGTTTCCTCTCAGCAACAAAAATCTTAATTAATACAGCTATCTATGATACACCAAAACAAAAATCCAATTACAGACAGCATAAATAATTTTTCCCAGTGGCCCAAGCAAAGCAAGGATATCTGCTCACCACTCTATGACTCTGGAGATCCTTGACAGGACTATAGAGCAAGAATAAAAAATAACATTTGTCTCCATAGATATAAAGTGTTGATATTCAGATAACATGGATATACCTATATATACATTTATAAGGAGTCTATTCAAAGGGCTCTAAAAGTAGTGAATGAGTTTATAATACTTCAGGAAAATATGTCAGTGCACTAAATAATTTGCATTTTCATACACTAGCAATTGTCAAATGCAAACAAATGTGTAAGGATTGCAGCTCTCACAGCACTGCCAAACGCACAATTGTACATTCAATGAAACATGCTCAGAGTCAGTTGCTGGAAGAGCAACAAATGTACTTAATCTTTGAATCATTTCTCGATTAAGTTTTAAAAACTCACAGTACATTGTAAGTACAATTTCTTTTGAGACACACACACAGAAAGAGACAGAGACAGAGAGAAACAGAGGGAAACAAAGATATCTAGAGAGACAGTGAGAGAGAGAGAGAACAGAGAGAGAAAGGAGAGAGAGAGAGAGAGAGAGAGAGAGAGAGAGAGAGAGAGAGAGCTCCTGACAGTTGATTATTTATCTTTTTATTCCTTTTTAGGGACCAGAGCAGAGTGTTCATTGCATTAAGTGCAATTTATTTCCATTCATTTTACCCACCAGGTTTGTAGGAAAAGCATTATTGTAATCAAGAAATCTTTGCCTGAGACAAGTTCTTGTCCACAAAAATACTTTTCACTTTATTCAAATTGATTTAAGTTTCAGGCTCTGTGTTTGGGTCTATGATCTGAGTCAGTTATAATACACAGGATGAGCTGTGAGTCTCACCATAAAAATCCACTGTCTGAGCATCATATGCAGAAGAGTTTTTATGCTTTCTCTACCTAAGAATTGTTCATTTCCCCACCTGCATTACATGTGCACACTTACTGTAAACATACATTGATTTTAATTGGTTTTTAAGAAAAAATGTGCCTTATTATGGAATAAAATGATGCTTACATAGTAAATATATGCATCAAATAGGTTTAATAATACTAAACTTTGGGGAAATCATTGAAATACAGCTTAGAATTTTGTTAAAATGAGTCTACAGTTACCTCATGCTCTGGATCTAAGGTAAGTACCTGTGTTTACATAAAAACTTGCCTGTATTTACAGTAATTTTCTGAATTAACCCTGTAATTTGCAACAATTCAAAGGTCTCTGAACTTGTGACAAAGTAAAGCAACATTACTCAGCACTAGGGAAAATTATTGAAAAAGAAAACTGGACTTTGTGCTTACACCTGCCCATTCTTATTCTGGTTAAAAGTTTCTCAACCTGCTGTCCCCAGAGGCCCTTAAAGCAGAACATGCTGGACAGCTCATTTATCTCTTTTTTTTAAATTATTTTTTTATTGAAAAAAAATTTCTGCCTTCTCCCAGCCTCCCATTTCCCTCCCCCTCCTCCTACTCCTCTCCCCCTACCCCCACTCCTCTCCCCCTCCCCCTCCAGTCTGAAGAGCAGTCAGGGTTCCCTGCACTGTGGAAAGTCCAAAGTCCTCCCCACTCCATCCTGGTCTAGGAAGGTGAACATCCAAACTGGCTAGGCTCCCACAAAGCCAGAACATGAAGTAGGATCAAGACCCAGTGCCATTGTCCTTGGCTTCTCAGCAGCCCTCATTGTCCGCCATATTCAGAGAGTCCGGTTTTATCCCATGTTTTTTCAGTCACAGTCCAGCTGGCCTTGGAGAGCTCCCAATAGATCAGCCCTCCTGTCTCTGTGAGTGGGTGCACCCCTTGTGGTCGTGACTTCTTTGCTCATGTTCTCCCTCCTTCTGCTCCTCATTGGGACCTTGGGAGCTCAGTCCGGTGCTCCAGTGTGTGTCTCTGTCTCTATCTCCATCCATCGCCAGATGAAAATGGGATGTATTCACTCATAATTGGGTTCTAGCCATAAATAAAGGTCAGTGAGTCTATATTATGATATCCTAAAGAAGCTAAATAAGAAGGTGAACCCAAAGAAAGTCATATCCTCCTGGGTATGGGAAGTAGACAAGATTGCCGGGCAAAAATTGGGATCTTGGGGGTGGGGTGGGATGTGGGTAAGGGGAGATGGAGAGAGAAAGTGAGAAGGGGAGGATGGGAGGAACTTGGGGAAACGGGATGATTGAGATAAAGGAAGGTTGGATAGGGGAGCAGGGAAGCACATATCTTAATTAAGGGAGCCATCTTAGGGTTGGCAAGAGACTTGGACCTAGAGGGGCACCCAGGTGCGCAGGGAGATGTCCCCAGTTAGTTCCTGGGGCAGCTGACGTTAGGGAACCTGAAATGACCCTATCCTATAGCCATACTGATGAATATCTTGCATATCAAAGCTATCTCTTAAAGCATTTTAAAATTAGTTTCCCTTGGGTCAGCCAGATGGCTGTTGGTAAAGGAGCTTGCACCTCAATCCTGGTGACCTAAATTCAATCCCTTGAATATGTGCAAAAGTAAAATGAGAGAACAAAATACACATAGTTGTCTTCTGACCTCTAAACGGCAACCCCTGCCCAAACTACTGCCATCACCACCAAAATCCAAAACAACAATAAAGCTCCACTTATTCCCCCTTGCAGTTTAGTTGGAGAATCTGACCACAGATAAAAGAGTTTTTCTGCTGGGAAATTCTGACTGCTACCCACCTGCTCTCTTTCTGCTCACTCTCTTACCCACCAGTTTCCTGTTAGTTTTCTCCTAACCTGTTTTTCTATTCGGACTTAAGATGCATACTTTGAATTCACAGCTCATACCGCTCATCAATCGTGCTCTGGAATCTCTTCTACTCTAGCCTGCTGTGTTCATATTGGACATGCAGCTGTTGAACTCACTGTGAATGAATCTCCAATGCATTTACTACTGCAGGGATCCATCTCCCTGATGTTCTGGAGAATCAAGAGCGTAAGAGCAAAGGAGGCAAGGATGGCATAGGCTGGGTACAGAGAAGAGGAGTGTCTACAGGAGGGCATAGGGAGCTTGGGGTGGGGTTTAGGTCTCTATCTTGAATGTGTTGAAGACTTCTTGTTTATATATGTTCGCAAATTTCATGGAAATGTGCAACAAAAGAATAAATTTTACTGAATATAAATAACATTTTTAAAAAATTCCAGCTGACTTTAACCACCATATTTTGCTCATATTCACAAAACTCTAAGAAAACAGATAGTCTCAGTTTACACTAAGAAAAAATGTGACAGAGGCCTGGATGCTTAAGCTGAGGAGGACAGGAGACAGAAAAGCGTCAGACTCATTTAGAAGCAGAGGTCCCAAGGGTGAGCAGCTACAATTCTCCTTGAAACAGGAAATGTGTTTGATTTTCTCCAGTCCAGAGGTCAGAAGTGACTAAGTTCCTGTTTCCTTTCTGCTAAGAGAGCTCCCTGCTTGGATGCTGTGCATGAGGCTATATTTTGACACTAAACATGTCTGCTGGGTAGCTTTAGAAATGGTTCCCTAAATCTTCCTAGCAGAAACACACCATATCAGTTCCTCGGGGTTAGCCCATAATGTAAATAATTTTGGGGTATCTCGAGCAGGGACTATTACAGCAGCCTTTGAAGCCATTGGAGATATCAGTGCTCCCCTAAAGTGTATTTCCTCCTCTCAGATGAACAGAATCTGCTTCTTGTCCTAGGTAGACATGACACACCATTGTGTCCTCTGATACTAGTTTGTCCTGTTGGGCCTGCACTCACCTGCCAAGAGATCACCTTTTAGAAAGGCTAATCCACCTAAAGCCATGGTAAAGAGGTAGCAGGAGAAAAATCTTTCTCTACTGAGATAATGTGTTTTTTCTTTCCTGAAACTCCACCCTGTGTGATCAACTGTGGAACTGCAGCCAAGCAGTCAGTGACACTCACTGGCTTTTCTGAGTTCTAAATCAGAAAATCTGAGATATTTTGTTCTGTTTTTCTATCTCTTTAGGATGTTGGACAAAGCCAGGTTTTTTCCCTCTTTCTCTGAACCTATCTGGTTCTCTTATGGAGCTACTTGCTAAATGTGGAGTACCCAAAGTTACTGGGTCAACATAGTAATATTCTTTGGATTTTTGCTCCTTAGAAACTTTTCAACCTTTTTTTTTCTTTTTGACTGAACATTTAACAAAGATGTCCTTTGAATTTATGGCATACAGATTTCCATAATGGCTTTCTATTTCAATAAAGTCAATAAGCAACTTTTCCTATAAATAGCTCCCCAAACCTCTGAAAGTTATGTATTTATTTGCATGCATATGTGGCTTTTTTTCTTACTTGCCCTTTTCTTACTTGTTTTTTTTCTTAAAATTAAACCCTAAATGTTTGTTATGGAAAATATGACAAATATTCAAAATCTGAAACAAATAGTATGGTAAATTCTCTGCCTGGGCTAACTTGCCTCACAGAAATATGGGGTGTGTATGTGTTTCTGTGTGGAGAAGAAAATGGTTTCAGATATGGGACTAATTGACTAAACTGAAAAACACCTACATTCCTCATTTTCCAGGAAGCCCATATTATTTCACTAAAACAAACAAGCAAGAAAACAAAATTTGAAGTAAAGGAAGAGGGAATAAAGGAATAAAAATGCAAAAATGAAAGAGATAGTTTCCAAATACAGAAGACAGTTTAACAGAAATTCCACAAGACTTCTTGTTTCCATAACTTGCATAAACCAGAAATGCCAGAGAACTTGCTGGAGTAGGGGTTCAGTTTCTAATTGCACCTCCTCTCTCCACCTTTCCTTTGAATCAACTGGATCTGCAAACCCCAGGCCCCAGTCTCACAGGGAACTTCTTCAGCTGGGCACATTGAAAGCTGTGCTGTTAAGAGTTTGCTTCATTCTGGGACCTAAGGATCATGTTCTACAGCTATTTCCAGTAACTCACCAGAGTGCAAATTACCAGATAGAAAGTGAGCTAGTAAACTACACACACACACACACACACACACACACACGCACAACAAATAAACAAACAAAAACTAAAACCTAAAAAAGCAAATGCAACTCAATCAACAAACAAAAATCATATCTCAGGATTTGGTAATTTATTGTTCATTTCTCTTGCCCAGAAATACTTGAGTATTTTATCCTCTGATATAGTAACTAATATACCAGAGGCCTCTAAGCATTTCCACTTCTACAGATACCCACCATGATAGGATAACAGATAATAGGTTTAGTCCCTTTCAGAGTCCTTGGCAAATCTTCTCTCTGTCTTCTAGTGTGAATCAAGTTGTATTAAAATACATACCTATTTTTACCTCCTGCAGGCTGTCTCCCGTAATGAGGTCTCTCTTTAGCATGCACATGGATGCTTCTTCAACCTTTGCTTCAAAGGAAGAAACTCAACTGAATTCAGCAAGAAATTTCAAACTTGAAACTCTGGGGAGAGAGAAAGAGCCTTGTAATGCTTATGTTGTTTCTAATATACATTTCAGAAGCTCAGCCCAACCTGTCTGGGTGATTCATTAACCTCTCCTTATCAGTTTGAATATGTTACCTTTGAGCACATAGTTTTTTACAAAGGCAATTATGACGTAAACTTAAGTAGACTTTAAACATGATAAATGAAACTGATAAATACTTTAGAATCTGAAACTGTCCTGTACTTCCCACCAATTTTTAAAGAAAAATACTGCTTTGATAAAAGTTGTTATGAATTGGAGAAAAGATTTATTTATTGTTTGTTTGTTTATATTTATTCAAACAGTCTCATGATGTAGCTCTGGCTAGGCTCAAACTCACTATATCAACACAGTTGGCTTTAATCTCATAGAGATCAACTTGCCTTTGTCTCCTAAATGCTATCTGTAAAGATGTAAGCTGCCACACTCAGGCTAAATATTTTAATTTTAGAACATGCTTACTCAAAGTATTTCTAGATTTGGTTATTCTGATAATATTCAGTAATTCTGATATTTGATGAAAGATTGAGGCATCTGCTGAAATGCCACTCGTCCCAGGATACATCTTTGGGTACACAAAAGGAGATCAAGTGAATTTAAATTGCAAAAGAAGTCAAACTCTCACTATTTTCAGATGATATGATAGTGTACAAAAGTGACCCCAAAAACTCTACCAGAGAATGCCTACAGCTGATAAATACCTTCTATGATGTGACAGGATACAAGATCAACTCAAAAAAAAAAATCAATAGCCCTCCTATACATAAATGATAAAGAAGCTGAGAGGGAAATCAGAGAAACATCAACTTTCACAATAGCAACAAATAACATAAAATATTTTGGGGTAACACTAATGAAAGAAGTGAAAGACCTATTTGACAAGAACTTTAAGTCTTTGATGAAAGAAACTGAAGAAGATACCAGAAATTGAAAAGATCTCCCATGCTCTTGGATAGGAGTAATCAACATAGTAAAAATGGCAATCCTACCAAAAGCCATCTATAGATTCAATGCAATCCCAACTAAAATCTTAACACAATTCTTCACAGACCTTGAAAGAACAATAATCAACTTCCTATGGAAAAACAAAAACCCTAGATAGCCCAAACAATCCTTTACAATAAAGGAACTTCTGGAGGCATTACCATGCCTGACATCAAGCTCTATTACAGAGCTTCAGCAATGAAAACAGCTTGGTATTGGCAGAAAAACAGAGATGTTGGCCAGTGAATTGAATTGAAAACCTGGATATTAATCTACACACCTATGAACACCTGATTTTGACAAAGGAGCTAAAATTATACAGTGGAAGAAAGAAAGCATCTTCAACAAATAGTGCTGGAATAACTGGATTTCAATCTGTAGAAGAATGAAAATAGATCCATATCTATCACCATGTCCAAATGGATTAAAGACCTCAATATAAATCTGACCACACTGAACCTGATAGAAGAGAAAGTGGGAAGTAGACTACAACACATGGGCACAGGAGACCACTTCCTACATATAACTGCAGTAGCACATTCACTGAGAGCAACAATAAATAAATGGAACCTGTGAAAACTGAGAAACTTCTCTAAAACAAAGGACACAGTCAATAAGACAAAAGAGCAGCCCACTTAATAGGAAAAGATCTTCACCAACACCACATCAGACAGAGGATTGATCTCTAAAATATTTGAAGAACTCAAGAAATTAGACATTAAAAATTTAAATAACCCAATTAAAAAATGAGGTTTTGAACTAAACAGAGAATTCTCAACAGAGGAATCTCAAATGGCCTAAACATACTTAAGGAAATGTTCAACATCCTTAACTTGAAGGCGTAAGTCACAAACAATGCCACACCAGTTTGGAATTATGATTCATAAGGTGGTATTTATTTAAAGGGGAAAAAAACTTACAGATCACTGTCCCAGGCAACAGCCCTCTATGCAACCAGGAAGGGAGTCTAGTCGCCAGCAGAGCAGGAAGTGAAGAAAGAGAGGAGAGGGAAGTGGCCGCTTTTTTAAAGGGAGAGAGACCACGCCCCAATGGGCTGGTATCTCAGCAGCTATAGGTTGGAGGAGTGGGAGGACCTCCCGCAACATTAACTATCGGGGAAATGCAAATCAAAACAATTCTGAGATAACATATTACACCTGTCAGAATTTTTAAGATCAAAAACACTAATGATAGTTTATGCTGGAGAGGATATGGAGTAAGAGGAACACTTATTCATTGCTGATGGGAATGTAAACTTGTACAGCCAGCTTGGAAATCAGTATGACCGTTTCTTAGAATATTGGGAATCAGCCTACAGGATCTAGCAAAACTACTCTTGCCGATATACCCAAAAGATAATCAATCATGCTACAAAAGCCTTTGTTCAATTACACTCATAGCAGCATTATTTATAGTAGTCTGAACCTGGAAACAACCTCTGCCCCTTAGCTGAAGACTGGGTAAAGAAAATGTGATACATTTACACATTAGAGTGCTACTCAGTGGTAAAAAAAAAAAAAAAAAAAAAAAAAAAAAAAAAAAAAAAGACATCTTGAATTTTGCATGCAAATGGATAGAATTAGAAAATACTATCCTGAGTGAGGTAACCCAGACCCAAAAAGATGAATATGGTATGTACTCACTCATAAGTGGATACTAGCTATAAACAAAGGACATTGAGCCTATAGTTCATGATCCCAGAGAAGCGAAGTAATAAGGTGAACCCAAAGAAAAACATATATAGGCCCACCTGGAAATTGAAAACAGAAAAGATTGCCTGACAAAATTGGGAGCATGGGTACATAAGGAGAAGGGAAGGTAGATGAGGAAGGGGAGGGTTATGAGAACTTGAGGGACTGAGATAGCTGAGATGGAAGAAGGACAGAGATGAGATGAGAGCAAGGAAAGAGATATCTTAATTGAGGGAGCCATTATAAGGTTAGCTGAAACCTAAGTCTAGGGAAATTCCCAGGAATCCACAATGATGACCCCACTTAAGACCCTAAGCAATAGAGGAGAGGGGGCCTGATCTTGACTTGTCCTGTAGTCAGACTGATGATTATCTTGAATATCACAATAGAACCTTCATCCAACAACAGATGGAAACAGAGGCAAAGACCCACATCTTAAGTAGCACTGGACTGAGCTCCCAATGTCCAGCTGAAAAATGGAAAGAATGAGAATATGAGCAAAGAGGTCAAGACCAAGATGGGTTCATCCAATGAAACAGTTTACCTAAGCTAATGGGAGCTCACGAACTCTAACTGGACTGGGAAGGAACAAGCATAGGACCAAACTAGTCCCTCTGAATGTGGTTGACAGTTGCATGGCTGGGGCAGACTGAGGGACCACTGGCAGTAGCACCAGGATTTATCTCTACTGCATGTAGTGCCTTTTTGGGATCCTTTGATCTTCAGATATATACTATACTATAGATATAGTAGGGAAGGCCTTGGACCTTCCCCAAAGCAATGTGTCTTATCATCTCTTAGGATTAGATGGGGGTGAGGTGGGAGTGTATGTGTGAAGGGAATGGGATGAGGGGAGGGAGTAGGAATATGGATTGGTATTTTTTTAAAGTCTAATGAATTAAAAAAGAAAAGCATTTATCATAAAAAGAATGCAATAAAGAACTAAGTACAACAGATAAGAGGAATGAATGCATTTGCAGTCAATGCATGATGGGAAGTGTAATATATGCTCTGTACTAGAGAACTGTATTGTGCTATATTTACCTAGTGGGATGGGCAGTGATAATAGAGAACAAAGTCCTTCTGCACTCAACATTGTAATGACTTTGCATGTGCCCTTTGCCTTATCTTTTTTTTTAAAAATAGAAAGCAAGAAAATTTCTAGAGACCAGCAAACACTTATTATTTTGTCTAAAAAAGAGCAATATATAGTTGATGGAATAATAAATACTTGCAACTAAGTTGTAAGACTTTGGCACAGCTATTAATGTTACACATAAACAATGCTATAACAATTTTATTTATTTACATGTGAACAATGGTCATCTACAAAATGAAAAAAAAACTAGTATTATTTCTAAGTCAAACCAGAAACCTAGATGTTCATTAATAGCTGAATAAAAACATACTATTTCTATTTGTATGGTTTGTATACCACACATCACTTAAAAAGAACCCATTCATGCAATTTGCCAGCATGAATAACCTCAAAATCCTAATAAGAAGTGAAATACATGGAAGACAGTTTCATTTTAACAAGTTTAATACTGTGCATTTAAACACACCATAAGTATACAGTGCATAAAAAGAGTTAAGAGAAAAGAAGCTCAGAAAACAGTGGGTTGTTTAGTAAAGCTTGTCACTCCAGGAATATTGGAATACTTATTTAGGAAAAATGGGACTCAAGTCAGCCCCCAGCTCAAAATAGATTTTGTTCTTCCAATCCAAAATACTAGTGTTTCATGAGGCTGTGGCTTTACCAAACTCACCTAATAGGGAAAAGTCAAAACCTGCACCGACTTCACCTTTTCTGACTCTCAGTTGAATTCAAAATTATTTCTCACACAGCCTGTGCAATGTCTGCCTCCTCTGAAAACCTTGAGTCAGATAAGAACCCAGGTAAGAACTCAGATCTGTATATAGACTCTGTCATCATTTTTAACATTTTGTTTTGAACTGTGACCTACACTGTGGCTGATTTTCTCTTCTTATCTCAGTCTAAAGGTCGGTACATGCTATAAGGACAGAAATTACATAGGCTAAGGCATTTCTACAGCAATGGCTGATAAGATTATGACAGGAAGGCAGAGAGAAAAAAGAGCAAGATGACAAAGTTCTGCAGTCAGATGTTCTTGTTCTTGATAACAATAAATTACTTGTAATTGTCATGTGCTGTGAGCTCAGTGTGGTTAACTTGATAGTTACAAACACTTGCAAGAGCCAGTTGGAAGGCATCCACAGCCTATGAACTAGTCACCAA